GGAGGAGGTGGTGGGTGTGAAGCACCAGGTTGAAACTTGGTGAGTTTGTCAGCCTGAGGAGGGAGCGGAGGAGCAGTGTTGGGGGACACCCCCTTGGGAGGGCGCTCAGCTGGAGGGGGGAGAGGAGGAGGAGGAGGGAAAGTGAGGGAAGGTTTGCTGGAAGCTGGGGGAGGGGGAGGAGGGGCTGGCAGGGCGGGGCGCCCCCTTTTTTTGGGTGGCTCTGGTGGGACAGGTGCCCTTGGGCGTTCAGCGGGGTGCGAGGGGTTACTGCTCGCCTTCGCAGCGCTGCTGCTGCTGCTGCTGCTGTTTGGTGGGGTGGAGGTCTTGGGAGCTGCCGCTCGGACTGCAGGAAGCTGCCCAGGCTTTCCAGCTGAAAAACAGCATCACACGTTATACATCAGGATTCTGTTCCCACCCGTCAGACAAACCAGCACAGAGAGCAAGCTCCTCATCTTCCCCTCCTCAGCGGTTACTCCGAGTGATAAACATCTGCCAGCCAACACGTTGCCCTGGTATAACAGGGCTTAGGAGGTGATGTGTTACAGTGGCCACCAGGGACTTTGCTTAGTAGCCCGGGAGAACCTGCTCCCTTCCGTGGTCCTCAGTTTCTGCAGAATAGGGCAGTTTAAGGCGAGGGTGCTTTTCTGCGGAGGCCTGGGGTCCTTCATACCACCCTCATCTGCCCAGGACAGCCCACTCAACACCAATGAGCCTTCTCCTTGGAGGAGTCAGGAGTCCTAGTAAAAAGGCCTCAAAGAACACAAGTAGACTGACACACATCAGCCTGAGTCTCTGAAGTGCTCATTTAAGAGAAACAAATTCACACAAACATTACTTAAGTCTCAATCCCATGGATCAAAGCCAAGTTCTTAAAAGTAGTGCTTTCCGGAAGGCACAAGTTCAAATGTTTCCTTTTCAACAGCAAATACCCAAAGAGCCTCAACCTTACAAAATGTATTTTCCCGAGTAGACATCAAGGATTTTTCACAAAGCAAGATATCCAAAAAAAAAAAAGCAGCATCTGATTCTGTATACACATAATTTGATAGGCATGGTCACAGTTTGAAGAACAACTCGAAGCAGCTACTGCAGCAGACGTGATGGAAGCCCAGTCACAAGCAGTGCTGCTCATCTTGGGTTTGCCTTCCAGTAAAAAAACCCTGCAGGTAAAGCCAAATTGTTTTTTCGTGCAACTGCCTGCTTTGCTCTGTGCTGCCTGAGCAGGCACCAGCTGCCCAACAGTGCCAGAGATCACTGCTGTGACTCTGAAAGCCACCCCTCATTGATGCTGGCACTTCCTGAGGTGAAAGCAGCAGCAGGGCTCCCACACATGCAAAGCATGTGCTGTCCTTGCAAAGCAACAATAACCTCCTTTTTCAGGTCAATAAATTATCATGCTGGATGAAAGGTGTGCTTTAGAAAATCCAGAGGGCAAAAAATCTTAAATGTGAATCTTTTAAAGTAGCACTCAAGCCTGCAATACCATAAAAACAGACACTAATGGAGAGAAGGAAAGAGGACTTCTTTGCCATTTGTGCTCAAGTTGGTAAGCGCAGATTTCAATATTCAAGTCACGATTAAAAGTTTTTATTAAATTAATGTAAAAAGTCTCCAATAAAACTCTGTATAATCTATTCAATTTCTCTCCTACTCAGTGCAGAGATACATTATTTTTATTACATTACATTATTTTATTACATTATTTACATTTTAAGGAATAAGGCACCTGAGATTTAGCAAGACGATTTCAAGCACATTATTAACTGAGTCCCCCATGGTCACATGATGAACTAAGGCTTCAGAAAAAGCCCCAATGAGAATCAATACCAAATCACAGTTCCCCCCAGCTACACTTTCACACAAAAAAAAGCTCTTACCTGGCACGTCCCTCTGGCCTGCTGGTCTGAGAACAGGAAAGCCCCCAGCAAACAAGCCTCCCAGGGGTGGCTGAGAGCCACCTTTATTAATGGCTGGACTAACTCCATCTCTGTTACTTCCTTTGGGTTCTGTTAAAAAAGAACAAAAAAAAAATACCAGTCCCAGGGTATACTGGGAAGTCATTTCATCCTTGCCCTCAGATTGCTAAGGCTTAGCACCACAAATGTAGTCAAGACCAGACCTTCCCTTCTTTAGGCAGGCTCAGCAACAAAGCTACTGTTAATCCAGGAAAGCGCCATCACTTCCTGACCCACCTTTCGGAGCACAGCACCCTCTGGTGCTTTTTAATCTTACATTAATAATGACACCAACAAGAAGCTGTGATAGATAACATTAAATTCATGCTTCCTGATGTTTTTTGGCAGTTTTCGTTCTTTTTGTCTAGTAACAAACAGTTCTTCTGCCAGAGCTAACAATTTCCATGTAAACAGTTATTTTATGGAGAAACTCTCAGGGATTTCACCACTCATGATTTTTTTGAACAAATGCCTGTCAAGCTGATATCCACTTACAGACTTCTTATGAAGTGTTCATAGTTATTGACCTTAGAGCAGGATGCAAGTTTAGAAAATGTCCCTGCTTCACATCCTAGAGCCATATGAAAATGCAGATCATTTTTTGCCAAACTTCAACCTGCCCTTCAACTTGAAAACTGTCCAGCTGACCTCTACAACCGAGGTTTCAGCAAAGCTCACGCAGGGACCTTAGCCAGGACTTACTCTCAATCTGTGGTGCGCTGCGGTCATTGATTTGAGTCACTTTTCTTAAGCGAGTCCCCTGCTGGATATCAGCCAAGAGGGCGTTTCGTGCTTTTTGGTCTTCCTTTCGCAATTTCGGTACCTCTGAACTTGCCTGTTGACAGTAAGAGCATTAGGGGAGATACAGACAAAAATGCACGCTTAGAAAGGACATATAAGTGAACATGGGATAGAAGATTTGAAATAAACCATCCCTGGCAGCCGTCATTTCAAAACCTTTAAGTGAAATCCACAAGAACAGCACTCGGTTCTACAGGAGGCAGGAAACCTGAAAGTTTAAATAGAGCACAAATCTAAAACTAGCTGTGCTAATGCTGTTGAAAGAAAACTAGGAGTCATGCTTAAATGAAATATGACCCTTGCTTGGCTATTTATGGTCTCTGCCCCACAAATTCTATGCAAAATGCTTTAAAACAAAGATTTTATACATCACCTTAGAATAAAGATCCTTCTGCTTTGCGCACTTTGCCTTAGGAAAAAAAGAAGATAGCAATTGCATAGTGCACCTATATTTGAATGTGATCATTAACTAATTTAGAGTGTCTCTCTTTTGGAGTTTAAGTAAGTAGACAGTCTTAAGACAAATACATTAATATTTTAGTAATTTTTCTAGCCTGATCAAGGCCTGTAAATGTAATGGTTGTAGGTTTTTTTTTAGTCTTTATTCTTATTTCATCAAGTTTCCTCTTAGATATATATTCATATGAAAAAAAAAAATCTTTAAAAAGTTTAGATGTTTCATTTTCCTGAAGCAGATACAAACCAGCAAAGCTTATTTCTAAACCTATTGTGTGGTTAACAGAGTGGTCTAATGGAGGGGCATCTTCACATCAGAGGAGCAATGTGCTGTATGTGCCCACAGCTACTGCAAATTCCCATAGGTTATCTATTTTCCTAAAGAGAATAAATACCAGAAATATTTCCATAGCCCTTAATTTTACCATCATAGTCATAATAAAGCAGAACTAGACTGTCACGCTTTAAAAGAAACAAAAAACCCCAACTTAGCAATAGAATTATGAAAGCAAAACAGAAACTTGAAAATATTTAACCAGCTGCTGATTTAATAAAATACATGATATAGCTTGTGTGGTTATTTTTGTACTTACAAAAAAAAAGAAACAAAATAAAACCCAAACAGGCAAGCTAGATTGCAGAGCCCCACTAGATGGCACTCCAGGTCGCTGCTAATACCCGCTGCATTCCTGACACCTGATGTAAAACCTCAGAATTATCATCTTGTGACTGATACTGTAACCATGTATTATTTTAAAATATTAGACAAAAAAGCCCCACGCTCTGTTACATGGTGTCCTAACTGGAAACAGTGCTGCCTGCCCTGGTGCTTTCAGGGCAGGAGGAGCCCACTGCCCGCGAAGTTCACCCAGAAAAGCTGCCTGTGTGAGCGGTGTTAGACCATCGTACCAGCCAGAGGCTGTTTCCACTCACGTTTTCTATAAGGTGACGATACTTACTGTGAAAAATGGAAAAAACATAACTGGAACAAGGGTGGCTCCCCTTCTCACAGATGCCTTTTGCCAGTATCTTGTAACTTATCACCTCTCTACTCCCACTAACGACTTTGCTGCAGCAGGACAAGCAGGATCTTGAGGGATCTGCTCAAACCTATGTTTAAAATTAGATCTGGCAGCTGTCTTTTCATTTCCGGGGTTGAGTGTCCATACGTAACGCCAGCTGTCCACTTCATCTCCCCAGCCTGCTTCTGTGAGCCGGCCGGCTATTGCAGCATAAAGTTTGGATATCCAGGTAGGTGTTAGGCTAAAAGACCCCACTTGCGGCAACTTATATTTGCAAGCAACCCCCGGTTTTGTATCACTTTAACATGGCCAATGTATTCATTTGTTCACAATTTGTAGCACAAAAAAGCAGGAACCCTATTCAGCAGGCCCCTAATGCAGTGGAACAAGCTGCCTCTCTCTCACAAGAGAACCCCTTGCTTCAAGGACAACTCCATCCCATGCCCAGGCTGTTTCTTCCTCCTCATGTACGTAGGAGATACAATCTTCCTTGCCCAGCCGGGTGGACGCGGGTGATTGATTAGCTGCTGAGAAGCTTGATACGGATTCTCTTTTTCCATTACAAAGTCAAGATGGTCTGGGCTATAGTGTTGCGTGGTTGCCCTGCGGTCAGAGCTCCTTGGGATTTCTTGTTTGCTGCCCGCGCTCTCAGTGACAATTCTTGTCAAGAATCATTTCACCAGGTATCTCACCCACTCATCTACTGGTGTCCTGCATTTGCAAATGCATGTCTTTACCATACTGCTTTCCGATACACAATCGGAAAGGATCCTTCTTTCTTCAATTATGAAATTAATCTGGGACTCACACTCATGCTATGCCTGCAATCCACAGCACAGGAATAGATCCTAAACATATAACTTGTGTCTCGAGAGAAAAATAAAAAGAGGAACTCTTATGGGTGTCACATCTTCAATCCTGATCACATGC